GACCTCCACGGTCTCAGGTATACGTAATGGGCATGGGATGTTAATTACGTATTCCCATTACAGAGATGCCCGCGTGTATGCCGCGGCCATAATGCGCACAGTGGATTTCTCATTATCGATGCTCGTGATTTATGCTCTGTTATCGTAAGGGACATTGTACACGTAATGTAAGACCTAATTCGGATTACACTAAGAGATTACCGTGTAGGTAAAGCATTGGTTTCTGTTGGTAGTTTCCTATTGGTTGCGAATGCATTGTATCCTTAGCGTTCATATCGGTATGATCGGTCGAGCATGTCGATTGGAAATTTCCAATCTCAAGTGTACTAAGTCATACATTTATTACAATTAATGCATTTGAAAGTGCAGCAAAAATGTCATCTGCCTGTACTGTTATAATAAAAAAATAAATTTTTTTGTCTTTATTCATTTCTTGAAAATCTAGTATGTTTGTGAGTGCATAAATATATTATAAAAATTTATTTTAGAAAGAAATATATTATTGATTTAGATAAATATTGATTTTAGATAAAATGTTAATTGCAAGTCTTTTGCCTGATTTTAAAAAGAATGTTATATGTAAATTGGTCTCTTTACAGAAATTTGTAGTGCTACATACGCGTTGCGGTCAATATCGCGCTCGAAATTGAAATTGGATTGGATTATATTGGAATCGTTTTGAACTGACAAAGTTACTTTCGTTGAACATCAATATTTCTAAATGAGGTTTCCGTACTTGAAATAATAGACATTCCTGCCATTTGTGTTCGACACAATGTATTTTCCAGCAAGTGAACCGTAGCTGTATAACGTTGAAAAAAAATTATCGCTCGAAAATATCGCTGCGTGATCAAAGTCATTTCGCGAGATCAAAGCAACCCCATTTTCCGCGGTACGTGCACAAGTTTCACTGTAGCTCACTGAACGTTTTTGTTCCCGTTCTTTAGCGAATTTTTCCCGTTGCGAATTTTTTTCGTCATTATCCGATAAATTCCTCGGTGTGTCGAAACTGTTTGATGTTTATCTACGATGGCGGCCGCGTTTACAGGATGTATGTATTGTATATTAACGCGCGATGCTATTGCGAGATCTCGCGTCGAGAATCATCCTGTCGTAAAGCATTATTAAACGCTTCTCCGATCTTTGTGCGCATACACCGTCGTGTCTGTTACAATCATGCAAAATCGTTGCTTTCATCTATTTAGAGTGGAATTTTCTTGCATGACGATGTCTTAAGAGATATTCAACGTTTAATGAATTTGTTTTACTTCGAAATATTTTATAAACATTTACTTGTCATTATGCATTAATCTCATCACTATTTAATAAGATCAATGAATTGGTAAGACATCTTATATGAATGATAGATTTTGTTCCTTTAATGAAACAATTTTTCCCTTATTTATCAAAATTCGTTCGCTGAAGCAGTTCTTATTTTTATTATTTCAGTTTATCTTATATCTCTATCTTTTTCCTTCCGATTTTTATCGCGTATAAATCATTGTTGTAGTCGCTTTCACTCAGGAATCGCTCATTCAAGCGTACTTATCGACTAAGATTTTCTGAAGTACGCTTGTAGCGCACTTTCACGTCGCGCTTCGTCTATTTTTCATTATTTCCCGACGCGCTTCGTTTACCTTCGACAAGAAAAGCGCCTCCGCGTCTCTCCTTCATCCTGAACATCTGTGATGGAGAGTCACGGTGCTCAATTTCGGTCAGAGCTTTTCTAGTTTAATCGAGAATCTGATCGTCATGTTTATCTTTAATTTAAAAAAAATTTTTGATTTACACAGAATTTTGTTTTAATTTATTTTAATTGACAGAAACTTTACTCTTTATTTATTATATATTATATATTCTGCGGCCCCAGAACAAAATCTACACTTTGATTACTAAAATATGCATATTTTGTAAGTATTTTACGAATAATTGTTAAACAAGTTTGATTTTGTCTGTTTATAATATCATAGAACTGGCAGCAATAACGATATGCGATAAATTCACAAACATTTGCTTTTTAACCTATATGTTTTTTTGGATACCATACATTTTATTACGCTGTATACCTATGGCTAGTTGTTATCAGCCAGCTGATCAAATAAAAGTAAGGCAACAATTATAACGACTGTTTGTTTCTGACGTGATAACAATGTCGCGTTGCGGTTTAATGGTTCGACACATTTCACAATAATGCCAATCTATGGCGGTGTTAATCGCGGATGGCCACTTTATCGAGCGACCGATCGCGCGACGGGACATCAAAATCAGTTTGTAACAATCGCTAATAGCACATCCTCGATCGGGACGCGCGATAGCTCGTGCATCGCCATCGCATCGCAATCCTCTTATCTCTGATCAAGAAACACAATTTATCGTACACTAGGAAACGCCGTGACCCTAATCTAAAAATAAACCATGCTGGGAGAGCTCTATTTTAGACTCCATTTCGTTTATACAGATGCACTTATCATCGAGGCAAGGCAACCAATAGGCAAGCAATGTTGGAAAAAAACCAATATATATTTTTCCGACATTATCTTGTAGTATGTCTGTTTGATATATCAGGAATAAAATTGAGAAAAAAGCTTATGATTACATTTTCCATATTCGTAATAGCTGATGGAAAATTTTTTGTTTATTGAATATCATATTTAATAAAGTGAAAATATATATCATATATTCTATATTAGGTAGTTTTAATATATTTTCAGATAGAAGGTATTTCAGCGAAGGAAAAAGATTTAATCTACTCTGGAGCTAATGGAAAAATGCCTGCATTCGAGTTAAAGGTGGAATTTTCGGAATTTCGCACGCAATATACTTCATTTGCGTTCGCTTGAATGAGAAGTGTAATAATAAAGCGCTAGGCAGCGAACTTTTTTCAGATGTTGTGTAATAAACGTGCTATTTGTGTGAGAGAGAGAGGAAAAGAGGTGCTTTCAGACTTTTCTTTGACTCGTACGTAATAATAGAGCGATCATTTCAAACACACTCGTTCCTGATGTATCTAATAATAGAGAGCCAGTTCCGAACTTCTTTCTCCGTAAGTGTAGTAATAACACGCAAGCGAGAGCCTAAAACTTCCTCTTGATGCGTGCTCCAATAGAGAGGCGCTTTTAATACGTGTAATAATGGGGAAGCGCAATGCCAAACTTTCCTGATGCATCTAACGATGGAAGAGTTTTGAGAAAGAATTGAACCACCCCGCACCACATTAGACGTTTCGGATGAGAGAAAGTGGGTGGAAAGAGATCCGACCCGAGTGGCGTGCTGCGAGGGATTGATGACTTGTGACCCACTTTTCGAGCCGGTGACCCAGATGTGAGGATGTCTTAGTGTAAGATATTGGAGACCTCCTACCTACCTCTCTTTCTAGCGTGCTTCTCTTCCGCACTCTCTCCGCTCTCGACTGCTTCGCGGCTGACAGTAGTCGGTTAGTTCGCTCTGACATCGAGAATGTATAGCCGATTTCGTTCCTCGGGTCGAGAGCGACCTAAGTTACGAGATTTTCAGGAAACCGATAGCCGATTATTTCGAAAGTGACATATGTCAAATTTCAAATGCGCCTAATTTACTCCACTTTTGCTTGAAATGTATTTGAACTTGAATTTCGTTCAAAGCAAACAATTTATTTGCACATTTTTTAACTTGGATGAGTCATTACTTTAGATAATTATATTTAAAAAAAAACGACATAATGATATGTTGTTGAGTTATTTAACGCTATTGCGCGACAAAACATGAGTTGCGTAATTTTTTTCCTGAGAACTGAAGTTACGTCATACTATTAGTCCGACCTGTTCGACGTGAACTATTTAAAACTGGTGTAAAATAAAAAACTTCGATAGGCGATGTTTTGCATGCGAAGAGTTATTACCACGGATATTTTAAGCGGAGTGCATTTTAAACGAGCGACTTATCGCTCGATGAATCATCGACATGCTCGTTACTCCATTTTTCCTTTATGATTCATTGTATAAGTGAAGGTGATATCGGTGGAACGCGTGATACTTTATCAGTATTATCCGATGTACATTATTGTATCACATAAAAATAGCTTTGATATTGAAGAATTTATGTAATTGCCTGCAGGTCTATGGAATGTTAAAACACACTCAGACTAATCGTTTCTGTTTTAATATTTCTACGAGATTACATCATTTTCCTTGCTTCTTTCTAAATTTACATTTTCTATTCACTAGTCAATCCGCGATAAAAAGCCGGTAATTTTTTTAATTTAAAGAGAAAATCTATCAAATTTTTTTTTACTTTACATTCCATGGGAATTTGATTAGACTTTATCCGCTCGAAAATAAGATCAGAAAGCCATAAAATTTTTCTTTCCTTCTTTGTAATCTACCATTTTAAATTCACTCATATTTCACGCTGCAGCAAACATAAGAGAAGAGGGAGAGAGAGAGAGAGAGAGAAAGAGAGAGAAAGAGGAAAGAAAAAGAGAGATGGAGAAAGCAGGTCCAAGATTTGTTTATGAAATTTATGCTAAGTCAGAGTATATGAAACCCGGATAAGCATCAGGCAGGCAGGTAGGCAGGTAAATTCGTCTTTGTCAGTCAGCGTTGCGACGGGTAGACGACGATGCTCTCCGACTTGTCTCGTTCCCGCTCTCCCTCCCTCGCTTTCCTAGCTTTCTCCTAAGATCCTCTCGCCGAATTGTGACAGCGTCGTCGTTTGCCGGAAGGATACGACACCGTGCCGCGCGTTGTATATACCCGCTGTGTGCGGCGTCATATCGAAAGGAGGTAAGGAGTGGGAGATGGTGGGGTAGAAGTGCCATCGACGGCAAGGGAGGGAGTCTGATGCTCGTGGTGGTGGTAGCATCGAGAACGGGTAGGGAGACCTCCACGTCGCAGAGGACCGAGAACGGTGTAACGTTGCTCCGGCCAGCACCACCAGCTTCAGTGTCGTTCCGGCCGCGGTCTCGTACGGTCGTTCTCGGTGAAGGGTCACAAGTTTATGCTCCTTCAACATCACTGCGACCGCCTCTCTTCCCGGCCTACTTTCGATCTACGGAATACGTCACGGTCTTGTGCCGAACTTGGTTGCTCCAGCCATCGTCGTCAAAGCTCATCATGAATATGGGCTAGTTTGTGACTATTCTTATCCGTCTAAGGATCAGGATCAATGGAGTAATGTGTCACGACAAGTAGAAAGAGAATCTGAACGGAGTTAATAGTGCTCGAGTGCAGGTGTCGTATTTATTCCGTATTGTTGAAGATTATTGCGATCGTGCGCCTGGTAGCATTGGTGGCGCGGTCCGCGGATATTGTAAGATGAGCCCGGCCTCCCAGGGCGCCCTGGAAGTGGAGCGTTACATCGGCAGTTGTCTAATCTCGTCCAACGTGCGCGCCGGACTGCACGGTAAGCCCGTGCCCGTTTGCCGAAAGCAGGAACAACCAGCGACGGTACGCGGCGGCAAGGCGCGCGGCTGCTATAATGGAGGGCAGAGTTATCCCGGGCTGGCCGATCAGCAGCAATGTCAGGTGCAATACGGCGGTCCGGGCGGCTGGACGGGTGCGCCGCTGATATCAATGACGTCTAGTCCGCGCAGGTGTAATCAACGCTCATCGCCGTCGCTCGGTCAACAACAGCAGCAACAGCAACAGCAGCAAACGTGCACTGATCAGCAGCAAGTGCAACCGGGCGGTCATCTACATAAAAGTCCCCTATCAAGGTTGGCGATTCATACGCAGGGCGCACCCCTGATTCTGGCCGGACGATTTTACAATCGTGGCAAAGTGCACAGCAATAACAGCAATAACAGTGGTAATTCTAATGGTATCACTAATACACCATCCTGCGGCAACATCGCCGGCAATTACGTTCATAATAGCGCGAACCCGTCCATGACGAGCAACGTGAACGGCGCGACGAGGTGTCCGACGTCGCGAATCGCACCTCAAAGGCCGATGGATGCTACCGCCAAGAAATCACCAACGACGGTTCCAACTTCGAATTCCAAGACAGCGGCGACGAACGCCGACTGTTCTTCCGCCACGGCAAAAGAAAACACCGGTTCCTCGAATATCGCGAACATCGACTCGCTGAGTATCGCGAGCGACGAAAGCTCCGGCTCGAACAATTCGGAGAACAGTTTGCCTCGCATCATCAAGCCTCGCAAGCGCAGAAAGAAGGATCGCAAACCGCCGAACAACGTCGTCGCGAGTGGCGTCGACGCAGCTAAACCGGAGGAGGCGCAGCGGCAGCAGCCTGCTGGTTGCGGTGCCGCAGCCGGGGAACAATCCAGCGTCATCGGTGTAAAATCGTACGCACCGACTTGTTACGAACCAAGAATCTATGAAGCGGCCACGCCGCATCTCAGGAACTACCGGAGGCCACCGGTCAGCCATCGTGAGAATATCTACGGCGGCTGTAGAGCGCCGTCGATGCAGACAGAGATGGCGGACATTAGGCAGCAACGGTACGCGCACCACCGGCATCATGTGCAAGTGAAAGTGTTAGATGACAACCGTAACGTGATCGCGGCGCCGATTCGTGCCACCGCGCCGCCCAAGGGCTATCGGCATCATCACGCCAACGATAGCGGCAACCTGTCGCGACGTTACGTTCATGAATACGCGGGAGAGTCCTGCGAGACTGTTGCCAGAGGGGACAGTTTGGGTCCGTGTCAATGTCGATACTGCGACCCGGCCGGCCTGATTTGGGACGTCGATCGGAACGGTTACTCGCCGTTCCTGACGACGACATTGCCGCCGCCACCGCCGTCGTCGTCCGGCGTTGAGTATTGTCGCAGTAGTCATTTCGGCCAAATACCGCTGTTTTTGACGTCGCCGTGTACGAATCTTCAGGAACGCGCTCTCGACAGATTGTTCGACGAGCACTCTCGACTGCACGACGACAATAGGGACACGGGGCCCGTCGCCGGGCCCGGTGGTGTAGTGTTGAGGCGTAGCTGGAGCGATCCAACGAGTTACTTCAGTTATGGCGAGGAAATCACTGCGCCGACGAAGGACGTCGGTGTCATCGGCGATCGAGGGGGCCAGTCTGAAAGTGGGAAACACAAACGAGCTCTTTGGCGTGGCGACAGCATCGGCAGTGCGCCAGCAAGCTCACCAGCGAACGCGAATGCAGTGGGCCCGAATGCCGGTGGTGGATCCATCGCGTCTCCGAAGGGTCTGGAGGTATCTACGGAAATCATCACGTCGCCCAACGGTCATCGGGATCTGGAGATCAAGTTCTATTCGTCGCCATCGCCCGCCGAACGTTTCGCCGAAGAAGACAAGTCGTCATCGAGTTTCACCGGGGAGGTCGACGACGACGACAACGGAGATGACGACTTCAGCGATATATGGAGTTACCACGAATCGAAATTGCAGCAGGATTTCCGTACGTTGCTGCAGGCGGAAGAGTGATGGGTTGTCGTTATCTAATCGAAGATATTCCCGAGCGCAACGAGCGCTTGCGGTCTCGCGCGGACTCGCCCGGTGGAGTGCGAAGTGAGAGCAAAACGGCAAATGCCAACGGCAGTAGAACCAGCTTGGAGAAAAGGAAGAGGAGAGTGCGTGGGTGTTGACGACGAGGTATTTGGCCCCATTCCGAAACGAAGTGACACGACAGAGAAATACGGACGATATTAACTTCGTCGGCCGTCATGCGCAAACGATTCGCGATTGACGTTCGCCTTAGTCTTACGGTGGTCGCTTTTACGTGTGGTCCGGGATCTCAAGGGGGTCAGAGCCAAGCGTCCCCGTGCGAACAACGGTGCCGCTAAGCCTCGACAAGACGGCGTCAAAGGCGACAACGAGAAGAGGCTTCTCACCGCTAACGGTGTTCGTAGTATACGTGACGTGACGTGACGCGCGTGCACGCAATGCCTCATGCGACGTGCCGTCGCTCGGTACCGATGTCGCATCGACACTCCATCTGATGTTCCACGTCCAGCGAAGTGAAATGACTTCAGCAACCGAGAAACGGTGTCGATCAGCCTTGTCGCGAGCGTGTTAGTCTTACGGGATCGGTAGAGCCGTGCACTTGCGCGTGTGTGTACATGTGTACACGCGAGCGTGCTGAGATGCGCTAATGCACGTGACCGTGCTGTCGGGTCTCTTTAGCACATGAATTTTCCTTGTAGTAGGTTGTGACACGATGATCGGTTATATAATCGGTAGTGTTTCTCGTATTTTTATAAGTGTTTTTTTTTCTCTGGCATGCACAAGAGTATTCGCTCGGAGATCCGGAGACGACGGAACGTTGATTGAACTAAAATGTTGTTGAGAAAAATCACCAGAGAATAATAACACGCTCCGTATTTTTAAAACACAGTCCGTAGTTTTCAAAATCAATTCGTAGATTCGTGCAATCGATCCATTCAATGTTTCAATTTGCACCGACGAATTGGAGAGCACTAGTCGATTAATTTCTGTTGATTTATAGATACCTATAATAGAAAATATTTAGATGATTCTTATTGTTTTAATCGTCGATTACGCACGATTCTACGTGCGAAAATTAACAATTTTCTTCTTATTTTTGTTTTTTCAATGATATTCGTGGTACGACCTATGGCGAGAGATTATATGTAAAAGAAGTCTGTGAGCCAAGAAACAATGAGCGTAGGAATAAGGCGGAAGGGACAAGGGATAAAATGTATAACGTTCCTGATATTTTATGTATTACCAATCGGAATATCGGAATGCCTTTACTGTGCCCTTCTGTAGACGTGGGACCACTCATCTCTCTTATGCTTCGACTATATCTGTTTTCCGATCGATTGCCCCTACACAATGATTATCTTATCATGAATTTATTCTATCTCATTCCGCGATCCCACGCCCAATTTTTATACTCCATTGTGTCTTGGCTCCGACGTAGACCCGAGATCGATGCGTAGAATACTAAATTATCGCTTCACGCGTAATTAGACAGCGGCTATTTTTCCTCGATGTCCATCGATTTACAAAATGACGATCCGTGCGTACTTCGACATTGGCTACGTTTACATCGTGCATTTAGGCCGCGGCCTATACAATAGAGATATCCTTGTTTATCCTGTAGATTAAACAAAGACACTTATCGTATAGATTGCGGACTAAGCGAACAGTGTAAACGTAGCCATTCTCTTCTCTAAATTCTTTGGTGTAAGATTCACTCCAAAAAAATTTAGAGTCCTTTTGCCGTTTTGCGGCTTACTGGTGAGCAACAGTTTAAAAATGCTAAATCGTCAATCGAATTTTTTGTTCTTAATGCATACTGAACTAACTTTAGCCGTGAAACGCTAGATACTCTCGGTTACGCATCGCGCCATTCATGACGGAAACGCAGAGACGTCGCGTGCAGTGCTTATAAGACGCGTCCGGTAAAAGTAGTTTCGACCGCCGCGCCGTGCTAGCCGCAAGGGGTTAATCACGAGGGTTAAGATGTATACTCGCACGTGAACGCATGTCTCGTCCAACCACGCACCAACACGCTCGCGTGATTGCGATATACACCGGCTTTTTCTCGCCGTAGTCGGTTGCCGCCGCCGCCACCACCACCACCATCACCACCACCACCGCCAATTCAAGACGAGTAGCGGCGACGTGACCGTTTAAAACGTAACGTAGCAATTAATTGGAAGAACGATGAACGGTCCGGTCCGTTGCTGGCCACCGCCGCCGCCGATCGTAATCGACGTCTGCGCCTTCTACCTCGCTTCTCCCTTCGCGCCCGATCGCGCGTGATAGTAGGTCGAACTGTTCCCCCGGCGGGAGAGAGAATCTTCATCATCATCTTCTTCTTCCCGCGAAAGGGGCCCGCCTCGCGTGAAAGGAGCTACCGTCTGTACTGGTAACTGCGTTTAATCGCGCGCTATCGCCGCGTTTTATCGGATAACTCGATGCAACGGTTCAGCTTCGGAATCGAGCACCGATAACCGGGCGGCTAGCTCACCGAGTTCGTAACATTGTTTCGCTTTTCCCCCCTATCTCTCCCCTCATGCACGTCGTTTACCGTTGTGTCTGCTAAATAACGGCAAGCGGACCAGATAAACGCGTTATTGATTTGTACAATATCAATACAATCAAGTGGAACTATCGTTGCCGTCATTCCGCCTCGACCCGCCGGAATCGGATGGCAAGATATTGTCACGCGTTCCGTTATGCGATGTCCAACTCGTCCAGAATTGATGATCGGTAGCTTCGAAGTTTGCATTATTCACTCTCTCTCTCTCTTCATTCTCAAATCTACCTCTATGAATTAAACAAATTATAGTTAACATAATTTAATCTCGTTCCAAATGAAACCTTGCGAATGTTTGATATTCAGAGTTCTTTTTTTCATCTCTATAACGAAATATCGTTGGTACTTAACATATTGTCTAAATAAATTAAAACTTGTTTTTTTAGGATTGTAGTATTGATAGAGATTTTAACTACAGTGAAGTAACTAAAAACTACGGTGAAGAATCTCATCGTTAATTCGTTAAATAACTTTTGTCAATTTTTTCCGGTAATGTTATAATCAATTGGTCACCGCTACGGACCGATTATCACGGCGATCGAAATGTGACGGGTCGAAGCGCTCGAGAAGAACGAGCGAGGGTGGAAGGTGCGGCAAAGAATTACGCGGCAGGATTCAGGCGTTCTAGAGATATACTATATCCCGAGATATACTATATATCTACATTAGCGAAAGGCCATCGCGCAGATTTACACAGAGCGTAGAAGCGAGTAAACGTAGAAGCGAGTCGGCCGGTCACACACACACACACACACACACACACACATACACACACACACACACACATACGTACACACAGGTATGCAGTGTCTATTGCGAGCCGCGTCGTGATAGGTCGACTCGTTCTTCTGTAAATCTGCGCTCGATGATCGAGAGAGCCTCAGTCGAGAGGACTGGAGGTCGCGCGACGAATCTTGTGAATCCTACGTCGTTTTGTATGCGATATACGAAGACTATACCACCTGTACCCGTTTCCCTGCGACATTATACGTCAGCTAGACTGACAAGACACGTACTACGAGTCACCCAGCGTCATTACACGCCGTCACATAGATACACGTACACACATGCACACGACAAACTCAGCAAACCACCTATCGTTAGATAAGTCTAGAATCTAAGGCGATCCATTTAGATTATTATCTCCGTTATCTATATGTGTATAGAAGAAACTGCGTTTTGTTGTCACGATTTCGGAGCGCGCGATGGAAAAACACGACGATGATGACGAGGTATGATTGGGGAATACAATGGGTGGATATTTTGAATGGGTATTTCTGCGTATGATATGCGTTTCGTTTTGGAGAAACGGAAGAAGATGAACACGTATTCACAAATAATGGAAGTATTTTTTTTCCGTTCGTGCCAAAAAGAAAAGTTTAAAAGAATACCGCATTGTTTTTCGTTACAGTTATAAAACGTGCAGTTACTAAATAGCTATGTATATATTACAAATGCAAACGGCAATCGAAGAGACACAGGTTTGGCGTTCCAGTTTTCCGAGATATATAACGCGGTGGAATTATTCATGAATATTTATATAGTAGCCGTTTCTCCAAAAAGAAGCGCACGCGGATTAAACTAGGAGGAAACCGATGAAATCTTGTTAGTATTCAGTACACTCGCGGTGCTGGGCATACGAAGGGCAGACTATAAAAATTCGACAATGGCGACAATGACGATGTCCTTTTGGGGTATAACGGGTGTGCGCTTTGTGCCGAGTTTGACGTACCTACGTGGCGAGCGCGTGTTCCCCGAGCGAACGCGAAGAATGATATTAGCAATATTTCTCTTCTGCCGGCGAGTCGCACTTCGCGTGGCAAGTTTTATTGCCGAGTGGCGACAGGTAAATATTGTCCTTGATTCCTTGTTAAAACGGAGCGCGCGCGCGCCAAGCATCGGTGCATAATCATGCAATGCGTACGCGAGGAAATTGCACGCGAGAGAGAAAAGAGAAAGCGAGCAAGAGTGAGTGAGAGAGAGAGAGAGAGAGAGAGAGAGAGAGAGAGAGACTGCTTTAATAACATCGTCGTTGATTTTTCTTCGAGGATTCCTACAAATCGCATCCGAGGAAAAAGACCTACCATTCACAAATGTTCGTTCATGTTTTATCCGATTGCGTGCGATGTTTGTCGACGCTGTTGTATCGACGTATTTTCGGTTGCTGCAAAAATGTGCTATTTGAGTGCATCGGACGTAACGTATGGCAGGATAAGTAAAACACGCTTGGGACTGATTCACGAGCGACTACAACGCGAGCCTATTTTAAGACTAAGTCGTAAAAACGTTCTTATTTATACGTATAAGCGGCCTTTTTTATTCAGGGTTTTTAATGAATATACCCGAGTTGTCTGCTAAAATTTGAATGAAAGGATTAAAAGAAGGAAAACGTCATGTCTTACGTACTGCACTTATTCATTGTCAATAAATTGTCGCTTATGCTACAAATGTTTCTGCACAGATTTCCTTCGTTCGACTGAATCGTGTGACTTTGCTTTTGGCAATCTTGATTGCCCAATAGCGTAACTTATTATAGCACGTTTTTATACATTACATTATCGTAAAAAGTATGCAGCTCCTATGTATAACGCATCCACGTTCTCGGATGACGAACAACGCAGCGATCGTAAAATTTTGTTTGAGAAATAACGAAGAGATAATACGGCGCATTTGTTTTATGTACCTCTTTGCAAGGAATGGCGACTTTAGTCCGGGAAGATTCAAGTGTTTTTCGACGTGTCGAATAGGAACGGTGAACGACGTCTGCTGATTTAGCCGCGGAACCTGTTACCAACAGTTTTCTGGTGATGCATCGGCGGAAGTGACCTAATTTATTTACCGTTCTCTAAGCGCATAAGAAATTTGTTAAGACGCTTACGCGAATGTCGCGGCCGAGAGAAGTGAGAATTGACAAATAAACAAAAGAGAGAAAAAGAACGATGCGTATAGTCGTGTTTTTAAAAAACAATCCCAACGTCATCGAAGGTGCTCTCGAAAGGAATCCTCACCACCTGTTGACCCCCGGAAATCGCGATGTACGCGAAAAAAGAAAGAGCAAAAGAAATTTTTTTTTAGCATTATTTTTCTAAATATTTAGAATTTTTATTTATATTTACCGAATATCTGAAAAATACGAGGATGAAAAAATGGCAAATATTTGTAAAAACAGC